ATCAAATATATGAAAATCAACATCAATTTCACTCAAATAATCTCACATTCAAAAACCCTCAATTTCTCATGAAACCCTAACATCATAAAACCCTCAAGAAACCAACGTGGCCATATATTCTTACATCTACTACTTAAAGCACAAAGGGATGAAGTCCAAGCCCCAATAATGGAGAATATTACCTTCTCTCTCAAGCTTCAAGATAGCACACCAATGGTTCAAAGGTGAAGGTGAGTGGAAGAGAAGGAGTGGGTAAGGGTTTCACTTGGCCTTGTGAGCTTGGAAAAAGAAGCAATGGAGTATTTTCTTCTTAGAAGAGAAGGTCACGAAAATGAAGAAGGGGGAGAGAAAAATGGGAAGGTGAATCATAGAAGGAGAGGATGAGAGGAAAGTAAGAGAGAGAGAAAATGAGTTTGCTTTTGAATTAAAATAAGGGAAAACTTTATTTTCACCAATTGTGGTTTATAATTTATCATTTGACCCCCTATGATTTTAAACTTGTCATTTAGGCTCATTTTATCATTTAACATCCTGTGGTTTCAAATTTTCATTTACACTTATTATGATTCCAAATATATATCACTTACACCCCTTGTAGTCTTATATATACATAACATTTTTTTATTTTTCTCAACTTTTATCTTATATTATTATCATATTATAAATTAAAATATGTGCTGAAAAATATAAATTATTTACTTAAATTTAAATAAATTTTAATTAATAATAATATCAATTATATATTTATAAATTTATACATATAAAAATTTTTATTTCCCCTTTTTTCTATTTTATATCTTCATCTAATGCATTTAAGGAAAATAAATAAAAATAAATTTTAAAAAAAGTGACTTATTTTTATCATGAAAATAAATTCAAATCAAATATTATTTTATTTTATCTATTTTTTAGCAAATATCGTTATAAAATTATCTATAGAAAGTAAATATCTTATTTTGATAATACATATTTAATTTATCTTAAATAATTTTTAAATTTTTTAAATATATTTAAAAATAAAAAAAATTATTTTAATTTATAAATTAATTTCAAAATAAATAGCTTGAAATATTTTTAATTTAATATTAATAATAATTTTATTATAATTTTATTTGATAATATCATAATTATATAAAATAAAATTTAGAAAAAGTAAATATTTTTATATTTATAACACAAGGGTCTAATTGATATATTTTTATAACCATAAACACAATGAGTATAAGTGAAAATTTAAAATCAAATGAGGTTAAATGATAAATGATTTAACCACAACGGGTCTAAGTGAGAAATTTATATAATCACAGGAGATTAAGTGATAAATCATAAAATCACAGTGAATGAAAATGAAATTTCCCTTTAAAATAACTTATATGGGAAAATACTATTTTGCCCCTCTCATTTCCCTATGTCATATTTCATGATCTAAACCGCTTAACTTTTAATTTTTTTTTGGGCTATTTGGGTTTATATAAGGTGTATCATCCTTAATTTATTTTAGGTTCTTACTAGCTTTGCATAATTATATTTTTGTCCTAAAAAGTGACTTTAATCATAAACTTACATTTTTATCTAATTAACCCTCTAATTACATGTAAATTCTTAATTATCTAATTTAATTATTCATGTTACTATACTCAACAACTTTCACATTAGGTACTGGTGGAAAACTATTTTCAATGGGATGTGTTGTGTTCCATATCTTATCCCACACAATGACACAACTCTTTTTTTCTAATGAGCGTCACAAATTTTATGAAAAAATACATATATATTCAACACCAATTTTTGAAAAAATACATATATATTCAGCGGGTGGCAAAACATAAAACGCAACGAGCCCCCACTTACCAAACATAAAAATTGAGAATTAAAAAACCCAACAGTCAAACAGCCATGAAAATTATCCTACATAAGTTTGTTGCTTTCGTGCATCTCCCTTCAGCCTGGGGAGCCTTTTCTTAATCTTCACGCCCATGTCTTTATCTTTTTATCTTAGGTGTTCTCCTCTTATTGGCCTTCTGGATTTACGTATATAATTTTTCCTATTAAAATATGAAAAATTATGTTGTACACGGTTCAAACCTAATCTTGATAATAGTAATAATATTGTAGATTCTTTAAAAAAATACGAAATTGATTTTAAAATTTTAGAAAAAAATATTTATATTAATTTTTTTAGGGATTACCGTGATTATCTTTGAATTTTTGGCAGACCACAATTTTAAAAAATTAGAATTTTAGAAAGACAACAAGTCAACTTTTTTTTCTTAGCAATTAAAATATAGTTTTTTCTTGAGGACCCAAAAAATATATTTACTCTAATATTATAAGGATGTGCATGACAGAAACAATTTTTTTCTATTTCTGTGCATTGAAACAATTTTTGAGAAAAAAAATGTGTTTGATAATATATTTTATTTGTATTCCGAGAATGAGAATTGTGTTCGATGACAAAAAGAATAATAGAATAAAAAATCATTCTTATTAAGCATAAATTTTTTTGGGATCATCACTTTCTTTTTCATACGGTGTGGTGGTGGTGGTTGTAGTAGTGACGTTGTGGTGGTGGTGGTGGCGGCGGTGGCACTAGTGGTGGTGTTATAGAGGTGGTGGTGGAGGTGATGGCATGGTGGTGGTAATGGTGGTGGCAGCAGTGGCGATAATGGTAATGGTGGTGATGGCATGGTAGCGGTGGCAGCGACGGTAATGGTGACAGTGATGGCGGTGGTAATGGTAGTGGTGGTGACGGTAGTAGTTGCGATGATGGTAGTGATAATATTGGTGACGATGATGGTAGCAGTGGTGATGGTGGTGGTAATGGCGGTGGTGGTGGTGGTACGACGATAGTTGCGGTGGTCGTGTCGGAATGGTGGTGGCAGTGGTGATGATGGTAGTGGTGGAGAGTAATTGAGTAAGATAAATGTTTCTCATTTTGTGCCCAGGAACAAAAAAACAGAAAAAAAAAATTATTCTTTTTTTCTGTTCCCCAGCACAAAAAATAAACCTTCGACCCGGGAACAAAAAATAAATCGATTTTATCAAACAAGTTTTTTATCTATTTCTATTCTCAGAAACAGAAATTAAAAAAAAAATTAATTCTAAAAAAATTGTCTTGCACAGCCTAAAATGAAGGCACATTTGTGAAAGATTCTAAGCCCATAATTTACTAGTGATTGAGATTAGTATGACTTTCACGTCAAAAATCAAATGTTGATATTGGTGATGTTAAAGAAAGAGTTCCTCTTAGATATTTGTTAGGGATGATGTAATGAAACGTAACCGACCAATTAAAAAATGAAAACGAAAGGGCTATTTATCAAATTCTTGCATCAATTCAGAAAGGGAACAAATGGAAAGTCAGCTATATTTTATGGAATTTATTATTCATATATGTATAAGAAAGAAATTATCTCTTACACGTATAAATTTAAAATGAATTTCACTCTCTCTTTTTTCCCTTAACAATGAACCTCACTTGCACAAATGAGTCTGTTGGAAAAAATAATTACCTTTTACTATATGAAAAAATTATTACTCATATTTTATAGAGAAATATTAGTATCATGACATTAGAGATAATTATCTCATATTACATACTCATCGAATTTTGTGTCAATTATTTTTTTTAAATTATGGATTCCACATATTTATCTCACCGACATAAAAATATTATCTCAAAAAACATGAGATTAATAATTTCCTATTTATATTCTCTTTCTCCATTTATTGGTAAAGAGAAGATTTTGTGTAACAACCTTTCATAAAGATAAAAAAAGGCAATCAATCAATCAACACGTAGGTATTAGTTTGTTTTCATTGGTTGAAAATCCTTTTTATTTTCACTAAAGAAAACGACAGAGAAAATATCAATAATTCATTGTTTAAGGTCTTATATAAATAATCAATAATTTCAAAGGAAAAATTTATATTATAATCTCATTGTCAGTGTTCACAATAGATAGCAATGACACAAAGTAGGTGGGAGTTGACATGACCAATAGTATTTGCCTCTAATTTGATGTCATTTTTTAGGATGGGTGACCATGTTGTAGTTGACACATGAAAGGAATAGCAGAGGAAAACCAAGGGAAATTCCAATGGTAGATGTTGGTTCCCTCTGATCCAAGGAACTTCCCTTTTCATTAAAAAAAATAATGACCCCATTTCCCTTGTCCTTGTTTGCTAGAGAGAGAGAGAGAGACAAGGCACTGACTTTGACAATTATTTGGTTTTGGTTTCTTGAATCGCCTTATGTTCCAGGAGTCAAGGACTGGTGTGGAGGTAGAAATAGAAGATTTGGGGACACCAAGGAGACCAAAACTGGTAAATTAAGAAAGGATCTAGAGGGCTATTCTAGCATCTAGCTTTTTTGATTCAATGTAACCTTTGATTTTGATGCCTAAAGAGAATAACAGTAAATGGGGTTTGTTAAATTGTAGTTGACTGCTTTTGAGGAGACTGGTTCAAAGTTTTTTTTTTTTTTTTTTGGTAAGTGGTATCTATTAGTTGTATGGGTAATTGACGGAGATTTATAAAGTCTTAGCTACTCTAACTCTTTAAGTTAGTTTTTGGAGTAGTATATCTTAAGGTTCTTATCAAATGATATCAGAGTCTTCTATTATGTCTTCAGTTGTAATCGAGCTGTGCAGCTGATGATGTTGGTATTGCAGTGTTCGTCCGGGTCTAGTAAAAAGACTAGCACAAAACCAACTCGAGTGGGTGCCAAGGCTGCGGAGCGTGGTGGAGTGTTAGGACCCATTTGCAAGATACGAGACTTGGAGTCCCACGTTGATTATATGAACAACTAATGTGGGGTTTATAATATTATCAGTAATGAGTTCAAAAATCTTTTAATTTCTTGCCTTGGAAGTCTTCTTGGTGCTTATATACCAATTGAACTCCATGTCATAGAAAAGAGGGTTAAGGAAGGTTAGCACTTAGAGGATTCTAGAGGATAAGGCTATTGATACAAAGAAAACCTATGGAGGAAATAACTTCGACGGTTGCAGTGCCATTTACACTTGGGAATTTAATACAAAAGGAATCAGCAGTGAAGACCCACATGGATATAACTGGTCTAAAGCTTATGGCAAATACAGCAGCAACATTAATATTAAATCCTGCAATTGAAGGTTGTCAATCCTACTCTGTTGGAAGTGAAAACCACACAAATATTAGTCCACAACACCAAATTACACCATCTAAAGTGGTAAATAGGAATCAGGATGGAGCTTCACTTGTCTCAGAAATGGTTATTGAAGTTAAGAATAATTGTGTCCTGACTGAAAGCCATAACCAGGCTAGAAAGGAAGATGAATTCATGTTAGCTAAGGATTTTCAGTGTATACATAATGACCAAATCTCTCAATCTGAAAAAAGCAGTCCTTGTAGGGACAAATTTGCTACTTTGAGGACTACTTGTTCTGAAATAAACTCACCAATTACCATCAAGGTTGATGATAATATCCATGGTAAGTCCTGTTTGACTGAGCCACATGCAGAGCTAGAGCCAGTGCAGAACATGGTTTCTGTTTCAATGAAACTTGAGAGTGAAAATGGAAGTGGATCAGATGGGTCTGAACCAAAACCATTTGCTGCATTTTATGAGATGCTAGAGAAGCAAACATGCACAACAAGCTGCCAGATTAGCTTGGAATTGAGTGGTACCCCTCTTTGGGGTTTTTCATCAGTTTGTGGAAGGAGACAGGAGATGGAAGATGCTATTGCTATTAAGCCTCAACTTTTTCAAGTCCCTTCACAGATGCTAATGGATGACCATGATAATGAAAACACAAAATACTCACCAATCCACCTTTTTGGAGTCTATGATGGACATGGGGGCTGTCAGGTATGTCATAAAATCCTTACTGCATGTAATTTATTGTATTTGTTATGAAACAACTCTCCCAAAAACTTAACTCATTGGGTGAAGAATGAAGCGGCAATGATTGAACTCTAGACTACTTGATCGTTGGTCACAAAGACTCTGATACCATGTCATGAACCAACTCTTCCAAAAGTTTAAGTTATTGGATGATAGCATATGAATGAGTTTTTTTATATTATATTTCTAACAGTATCGTTGAAGTTGATCCATTCAGAGGCTGATGTTTTTATAGGTTGCCAATTACTGCCGGGAACATCTTCATTCAGTGTTGATTGAGGAGATAGAAGCTGTAGAATCAAGTCTGGCTGAAAACAATGGGAGAGGCAACTGGGAGGACCATTGGAAAAAAGCATTCTCCAATTGCTTTCATAAAGTAGATGATGCGGTTGGAGGAGTTCATGCAGGTAATGGTGGAAGCAAGAGTGATGATGGAACTGAATCAAGTATTGAACCTGTTGGCTCCACTGCAGTGGTTGCCATTTTGAGTCAAACTCACATAATAGTTGCAAATTGTGGAGATTCAAGAGCAGTCTTGTGTCGTGGAAAAGAAGCATTGCCATTGTCTTCTGATCACAAAGTAATGCATTTGTTTATAGTTTCGGAATTTGTTTGGTGGAATTTTAGTTAGAAGCTCAAGTTATCTGATAGAAGAAACTTCATTTCATGTATGCAGCCAAATAGAGAGGACGAGTGGGAAAGGATAGAAGCTGCAGGAGGAAGGGTCATACAATGGAATGGCTACCGAGTTCTAGGTGTTTTGGCAGTGTCAAGATCCATAGGTATGTGATTTGTTGCATTGTTTTTGAGTACCAATGGTGCAAAAATTGATGCTCAATTTTGCATCATTAGATTTAGCAATACCACATCCAAAAATTTGTATACAAATCTACATAGGATGCAATGACTATTTAAACTTTTTCTCTTGATATAACATCATCTCTTAATATTTATCATCAATTTTTTCTTCTCATCCACCAATAGGTGATAGATACTTGAAACCATGGATAATTCCTGACCCAGAAGTGAAGTGTGTCCATCGAGAGAAAAATGATGAGTGCCTTATTCTAGCCAGTGATGGTTTATGGGATGTCATGACAAATGAAGAAGCATGTGACATTGCACGAAAGCGAATCCTTCTTTGGCATAAGAAGAATGGCAACAACGATTCAAGACAACAAGGCCATGGAGTTGATCCTGCTGCTCACTCTGCTGCTGAGTATCTTTCTAAACTTGCGCTCCAAAGAGGAAGCAAAGATAATATTTCTGTTATTGTTATAGACTTGAAGGCTCAAAGAAAATTAAAGAAAAAAGCATAAAACATCATTTGAAATATTTAAAGACATACTATTGTTTTACAAGTATTTTTCAGTCACTGGCATATTTAGCCCACTAGTTTTTCAACTGGGCTAAGTTATGTTTAATAAAATTACTCAAATTTGTACCCAATTCAGAAAGTTATATTCTTTTTTAAATGATGTATAATTTTAAAGTTGGCTACTCAAATAATCAAAAAACCATTCTTGAATCAGATTATTAGTTTAAAAATAATAAAAATAAACATAGGTCCTTAGTGGTACTTTTGTTGCAGTCATAATATTTCAAACATTTTGTTGATAGTGCCCTGATACTTAATTTTCATCTATAAAATTCTTCATGAACTGCCAATCATATAAGAGTCTCTCAAAAAATTCTTCAACTTCAATCATCAACCACAAAATACAGATTCTTTGACATAATTTTAGTAGCTGCTGGTTTCTTTGGCTCCATTATGAAAATTCTAGCCATATGCAACTGTTGACTCTACAAAGAAAGGAATCATAACTGGAAAATTGGAAGGTTGCAAACGAGCAGATCCCACAATTACTTGTAACTTAGATGATATCTATAAATGGACGATATTGGCTTTAGAAGGATATTTCAATCTCATGCAGCCTGTTAATGGATCTATACAAGACTCATAAACTTGAAGGCCCTTCAATAAAGGGCAATAAGATACTCATGCAAATCAGAAGAGAATCCTCTTATTAATGACATCCTATTATACCAGCAATACAATGATATATTGGGTCTACAGACTATTAAAGGCCCAGAATTCTACTATCCCCATATAAACTCTATAAATAAGAGGTAAAGCCTACAAATATGGACGAATCTATCTCCCTTATTATTATGCTGTCACTGTACACACACCACTTTTTTAGCAAACGCCGTCTCTATTGTGTAGAGTGATAAGTAATCTCAAAGATATCTCATCATTAGATATTTAGGAGAAAACATGAGATCCAATATAAACCCACTACTCTTGGACAAAACACAGCCTAATACAATCTTTCAGCACAAAGGATCGTTTCAATAGAAACTTAGAATTCAGTCATATAATTTCTGAGCATCAAAACTGACATGAGCATCTGTATTGTTAAGAGTTTACACTTAACAAACCACTCCCTCAATATAAAAGCAACAATCCTGTGCTGTTCGTGAAAGATCAACACATTTTGTTTGTGTATTATCTGCATTCAAGAATACCTAGTGAAGTGGTACATAGCTCAAATTAGAATAACCTTTTACCTTTGATTTTGAATAAAGTCCGGGATTGGAACATGCTATGTTTTATATGGTTGCAAGTGTAGATCCTGCATTGGAGAAGTAAGCTGAAAGATCCACATCCAAGTCCTCGTACATGTTGATAAAAGGATGCCTCTGGAATTTAAGTTATAGATAAAAACTGTAAGAACGACTATTTAGTCTATTTTACATGGCATACTCATAGATAAGATTTGTGCATACCAAAAGGTTCGGAGCTGATAGTCTATCCCTTGGATTTTTCTGTAAACTAAGCATAGAAAATTGAACAAGGAGGATCATAAGCCTCATAAAATGCAGTGACATAAATTTATGACAAAATAGTCTATTGAATAGTGATTGAATGTGCTAGCTTTTAAAATTTTTAAACATAGATGGAGTCCCATGAAATTATACTATATATATATATATATATATATATATGAGGTAGGATCCTTTGACACCAGTGTCAAATTTGAAGTTTGACACCTCACCTGAGAGCCGTTAGATCAAAAAAGATCAATGGTGTCACGTGCTTACAAATCAAAGTCGTTGATCTTTTTTGATCTAACGACTCTCAGGTGAGGTGTCAAACTTCAAATTTGACACTGGTGTCAAAGGATCCTATCTCTATATATATATATATATATATATATATAACTTGGTACTCAAGGCTCCCAACTTGCAAGTGGAGGTTGATTATACGCAGTTTTATTCTTGTATTTTTGCAAAAAGACCTCTGACTTTCCGGTCACAAGAGCAACCTTAGCACTACTCCAAGACTCATCCTCAAATTATAGAAGATATCTTAAAATAAAATACGAATATAAGGCTTAACACTCAGTTAGGTAGTGCATGTGTTTTACATTTTTACTATTTGTTTTGGTTACATACTCATTCTACTTTAGAATTGTATTCTCCTCTAGTATCCCAACTAATTTCAGGATGAAGAAACTGCAAGGGTTATTTATAAGTGTTTTCCTCCCTTGTGCTCTCTATCTATCTTTCCATTTTCTTTTGGTGGATCAAGATTCTTGAGACCACAAAACTAGGTTACTAAAGCATAATATTTACCATGCTGAGATAAATGAGCAAAATTCTGGAGAAAATTGATCAGATGGAGCACTGGGGGGAGGTTTTTCAACAATGGCTTCAATAAGCTGGAAAATACTTTCCCACCCTTCACTTTGATCTGGTGGTGTATAAGGAAACAGCCCCGTAGCACACCTAAGCAGGATCAGTCCCAAGCTCCATATATCACTTTTGTAGTTGTAGCCATGCTGGATTCCATTGATTCTCTCTGGCTGTTAAATGATCACAATTGGATAAGTTGTATTCCAAGCAATGGTGGCACATCTAGTTGGTCAGAGAAAAACATGATAAAGATACTCAGCATATTTTTACTCACAGACATGTAGTTGTATGTGCCAATGAAAGTATGTGCTTGACCAGAAGTAGTTTCCATGATTGCACTAACACCAAAGTCAGTAATCTTTACCTCCCCTCTATGATTTATAAGCAGATTTGAAGGTTTTAAGTCCCTATGGATAATATGTTTTTCATGGTGAAGATACATTAAACCCTTCAGCACCTACATGAAAGAATTAAAAACAAGAAAGGGATCAAGTGATTTAAGTCTAGTTAGGCGCACAGAGAAAAGAATTATAGGTGTAAGGCTCAAGTACAATATCTTATTCCTAACCTGCTTACAGATGGCAGAAAGATATGGCTCTGGAATTGTCTTAACTTTGTTCAAAAGATCTTCTAAGGATCCTCCATCCATGTACTCTAAGATGATTGATATGACACCATTGTGATAGAACGACTGGTAGCAGATAACAACATAAGGACACAGTGCTGATTGATTTATTTTTAGCTCTTGTGCTATATGCTTGAGTATGGACTCCTCAATATTCACTTGAATTTCCTGAATTGTGGAGAATACATCATAAGTGAGAAAAGAACAAAGTGGAATGGGAGTACATAACATACTAGATAAGCGGAAGCTAATTCATTAGTACAAGTACCTAGATTAAGATAATGAAACAATGCAGAAAACTTTCAAGCTAATAAAAACCATATTGTTAATGTTAAACGACACTACACCATATAGAAATAACTGAAAATTCAAAACGCTAAAAGCAGGAGGAAGAACCAACATGGGACTTATTACCCTGTAATTGCTCTAATTCCAAATACTAGTAAATGTATACTGTTAAGTGTCAAATATATCATCCTTTAGGACCAAAAGTATGCCAAATAATGATAAATACGGTCAAAGACATAGTATATATTATCAAATGCAAAAAACTTTGGAGTTTTCATGTTTGATATGATTCTGACTTAAAAAGATATTGGTTTCTGGTTTAAATTGTTAAATCAGAGCATTGGAGCAATGGGTAAACTAGAAGGACTTAAAGCAATAAATGAGGAGCAATGAAAATCTCTCTGAAGCTGTCTTTCGGCCAATTTTTATTATGCAAAAGACTTTGGCGTATTTGGATATTGTGTTCTACATAGAAGTTGTAGATTTTTTTTTATCTTTGCAATGAGACCAAGATCACATCAATCGGACGAGTATAGATTAAGTTATACCCAAAATACAAAACCATGTTTTTGTTACCTCATCCTCGCTAGCTTGCTCACTTCAGCGAGCAACTTAGCGAGCAGTGATGTATTTTCAGCCTTTCAGCTCGCTGGTTTTCTCGTTTCAGCGAGCAACTCGTAAAAATGGCCTATTGATCCCTTTTTTTTATAAAAATGGGACGAAATAGGGTATTGGGATTCACTTTTGCACGGCTTAGGACGACTTTGGATCCAGAAAGGCAGCATCTTTGGAGGAGGAGGAAGAACAAGCAAGGCTTCGCCATGGATACTGATTGATCAAGTTTCCTCTATGAATTCTCATTTATTTTCGTATTATGTTTAAATTTCTATGACTATGTTAGGCTAGTTTCCTTTTTAAAGTTAGGATTAGATGGAACCTATGGATTTCTAATGCTATCTTTTCTTTTCTTGTAATCACATATTCAATGTTTATGTTATGCAATTAATCTATTTTTAATTCTTAGTTTTGTTTAGGATTTGGCCAATCTTGAATGAACACTAGAATCTTGAATGACAATAGGGATGTTGGTATAGGATTCTGGTTGATTAATTGTTGGGTTTTGTATGATCTAGGGATAGACTTGCGAAATCTATGACTGTTAATTCTTGTTCTTAATGCTTGACCTATGAGAGAACACTAAGAAATTAAGATATTTAATAGGGTAAAGGATTAAGACACCAAGGGATTGAGTTTTGGTTAATCTTGAAAGAATATCAATAACATAAGTTTAATATTAGTTATAGGAAAGGGTAGATTCATTAGGAAGACATTGGGGAAATTGAAACCTTAGCTACGTTTTCAATATTGATTTTTACTCCGAATTACCGTTTGCAATCTTGATTCTTGATCTTGATAGTTGTAAGTTGTTTTAATTTCAGTTTTATAATTTAATCATATTCACAAAATCCCTTAAGGTTAATCCAACTTTGATTGTGTAGTAAACGTAGTGATTGATAGGTCAATCTTCGTGGGAACGATATCCTACTCATCTCTTTATTACTTGTACGATTGGTATACTTGACATGATCGCAACAAGTTTTTGGCGTCGTTGCTGAGGATTAAGCGCTATCAACATTAATAGTATCTATTACATCATAGATTGGATCTTTTCTTAATTTTATTTTTTTTAGTGGAGTTAGACCCAATTTTCTTAGTTTCTTTGGTTTATGCAGCTATAAGACACTATTGACCCCATGCCTTACAGTATGAACCATAGTTAGGGAGACTTTAGAGGACTAATAGGAAGCGTACCTCCATAAGGAGGTTACAAGAAACATCTAGTTCTAGTCTTGTTGAGGAGTAAAATATGGCTGAAAATCAACCAAATCCTCCCGAGGAGTTGATGAGTCAATATTTGAACCTCAATTTCTTATATCCGGTTGCAAGTATTGTGAGGCTACAAATCCAGGCTAATAATTTCAAGATCAAGGCTTCCTTCCTGAACCTGATTCAGCACAATCAATTTGAGGGGAGCCCGTCAGAAGATCCAAATCAGCAAATCACGACTTTCTTCCAGATGTGTGATCTGATTAAAGTCGACGAGGTAACGCCTGAAGCAATCCGTCTGACATTATTTCCATTCTCTCTGAAGGGACAGGCAAGGAATTGGCTGGATTTGCAACCCTCTAGCAATGTCACTTCGTGGGATAACCTTGTTGTCAAGTTTCAAAAGAAGTTCTTCCAACTTTCTAGATTTTTCGAGCTGAAAGAACAGATTGACAACTTCAAACAGCTAGAGGGAGAGTCTTTATGTGTTGGATAGGGAAGATCCGAAGATTTGATTAGGAGATGCCCACAATATGTGTTGTCCAATTGAGATAATATGCTCATCTTCTACATAGAAATTTTAGCAACCTACAGGGAGCTACTTAATGTCGCTACTAGAGGAAGTATGGCAAAGATTACACCTACCAGAGCTTTGGAGTTGATAGAGAAGATGGCTTCTAAAGATAATGAGGTCACTCCAGCATAGCCCAAGAGAGGCATTATGCATTTGGATAGGTATGATACGATGCTAGCCAAGCAGGAAAAGATGGATCAGAAGTTGGAGACGCTTACAAAGCTTCTTACTCAATCTCATATCTTAACCATCAATGCCCAGTTTTTGGTGATTTGTGACACATGTGACAGACCTCATCCTAGTAACACTTGCGATGTGACAGTTGTGATAGACCAAGTCCAGGTGAACTCGATTTGGTACAACCAGAGGAAGGAGAATAACCCCTACATCAATACTTATAATCCTGGCTGGAGGAATCATCCAACATTCTCCTGCAAGCCCACACCAGAGCCAGCAAACCTGAATATTCAGCCAGCACAACCTACCTCTCCTTCTGATTTGGAGAAAGCCTTAAAGAAGTTGGCTCTAACTACTGGAGAATCAGATTGGTCACCTTGCCAGGCAATTAGCTGAGAAGACTCTTAGAACCTTCCCTAGTGATACGATTTTTACTCCTAGGGAGCATTGCAATGCCATTACTACAAGGAGCGGGTTAGTAATTCAACCTGTTGAGAAGCCTGTAGCTGCACAGAGCAATGACAATGATTTTGAGAATGAGAAACCAGTTGATGAAAAGGAAGAATAAGCGGTGGAAGATGTTATTATTATTGGTGGAGAGCTGAATAAAAAAGTTGACACCTCAAGAAGCAATGTAAAGAAAGATTCTATGGAGCAGAAAAGGAAGTTACTTGAGACCTCTCCGTATGCTAAAACTCCCTATCCGCAGAGGATCAACAAATAGGAGAAGAAGAAGTAGTATTCTAAATTTCTGGACATGTTCAAGAAACCACAAGTCAATATCCCCTTTGCGGAAGCTTTGGAGCAAATGCTTCATATGCTAAGTTCTTGAAGGAGATTCTGTCAAAGAAGCGAAAACTCACAGCAGAAGGACCCATAATCTTGACTGAGGAGTGTAGCGCAATTATGCAGAAAAAGTTGCCTCCAAAGTTAAAGGACTCGAGGAGCTTCAGTATTCCTAGCACGATTGGTTTGGCGACAATAAAGAGGGTCATATGTGATCTCAGTGCCAGCATCAACGTCGTGCCATTATATATGATGAAGAAGCTGGGGATCACCGAGGTAAAGCCAACTAGGATGATCTTACAACTAGCTTACAGCTTCTCTAAGCAAGCTTATAGAGTTATAGAGGATATACTTGTTATGGTGGACAAGTTCATCATCCAGATAGACTTTGTTATCCGAGATATAGAGGAAAATGCTTTTGTTCCAATGATTTTTGGTAGACTCTTCTTAGCAACCTGAGTAGCGCTGATTGATGTGCTGAAGGGCGAGCTGAACTTAAGGGTGAAAGAGAAAAAACTATCCTCAAGGTCTATAAAAAAGAAACTCCACCGCCTCAGCCAGAGGTGATTTTCTTCATTGATGAGAAAAAGGCTGAAGAAGACGACAAGAAGGATCATCAGCCATTTGAGAGTTGCAAGTCGAAGGTGAAGATAAAATAGCCAAGAAGCAAAGGGAAGCATGTAAAAACCAAGTTCTTAGATCCTGAGGCCTCTTCTTCCTATTCACATGCATATGAGCACCACTATGGCGAAGTGTACTTCTTAAGCAAAAGGATGATGTCATCACTTAGCTCGAGCTATAAGTCACCATAAACACAAGCTGCCACGTCAAGCTTGTGACGTTAAACAAGCGCTTGTTGGGAGGCAACCTCACGAATTTCTGCTTTTGATTTGTTTTTACTTTTGTTTTGCTTTTGTTTTCCAGCATTCTTTGTTGATCATGACTCATAGGATTTGCAGGCACTGCGAGAGGAACATTCAATAGTGGAGGAGGCACATAGGCATGGGAGGTTCAGTTATTACTTTTCAATTTTTGTCCGCTTCAACTTATGATTGTTGAGGACAGCAAATTCCTAAATCTGGGAATGAGGGCGCATCACCACATAGTAGCGATTCATAAGAGTCGTTGAGCGCTAAATTCAAATTTTTTAGGAAATTTTCTGTCAACCTTTCTTTGCATTTTTCCTTCTTTCTTTGTGATTTATTTGCTGTTATGAGTTAGGATTGTTTCAATGGAGAGTCGATAGAGGAATTAGTCAGTGGTTTTGATTCATAGTGTGATGACTTGCATACTTGTTTTGATTTTTGATGAATAAGGACTGATTAAGTAAGTATAAGAGTTAGCAGGAATATTAGGATTACAGTTTTGAGTGATTGAGAGAGAGGATAGTTAGCTGAATCGTGCACCCATAACCATAAGGTTTTGAGCCTAAACAGTAAATTTATTTTTGGTGTGCACTTCACTGTTAAAAATACTCTAGAGCTTGTTTTGTTTCTCCTTGAGATGGTTGATGATGTGCACTGTTGAAATAATTGAGGCATTTTTTCTTGTTTTAGCTACTTAGCCAAAATGCCACCCATTATGTTATCCTTTGTTTAACCGCTTTGAGCCTAGACCTATTTCTTTGTGAATAACCAGTTGTCTTGATTAGCCACTTCACACACATCTCCACCTGTATTAGGATTGGAATGCAGATTTATCATGATAAGGTGTGAGCATAAGTATTCTATCATGTGTTGTTTGGTGGTGAAAAGTGGTCAAATAATGTGGAGTAAAAACAAAGGTGGGAAAATGGTGAATAAAAAAAATTGCGTTGCCCCTTTAAATTATGTGCAATAAAAGCATTGAAAAAAAAAGAAAAAAAATTAAGGTTAAATAAGATGTAGCAAAAGGAGGAAGAAAGTAAGAAAAGAAGGGTGAGCTAAAAATTTAAATGTGCTTATGCCTTGCTTTGTCTGCTTTCCAGTTCTTTAGCTACATTACTCCTTATATATCTTCCTATTAGCCAGACCTCATTACATCCTGAATAAAGACTTCTTAATCTTCTATGCATGGTACTTAACTGTGGAGAGTGAGAATATGACCAAGCCTATGGTAGTATTGATTCAGTAAAGGTATGGGTGAAACACTTACCCCTTAGACACTTGAGTGATGAGTGAATTGATAATTCCAGCGAAGGGTGTGTTTAGATTTAGTTATCTATGCTTGATTGATAAATCTCTTGTTGAGGTTCTATGCTTGCTTTTGGAAACTACTTAATTGGATGCTTGTTCTTATAGTTTTGTTGTCATTGTTAAGTTTGACCATTGATGCATTGAGTCACTGCCTGATTCTTTTATTGATGATTCATTGAGCACAAAGATCTATACTTTCGCATTTCCTATGTTCTTGAACTAATGTATTGCTGGGGACAGCAAATGAGTAAATCTAGGAATGATTTGTTAAGTGTCAAATATATCATGCTTTTAAGACCAAAAGTATGCTAAATAATGATAAATATGGTCAAAAACATAGTATATATTATCAAATGCAAAAGACTTTGGATTTTTCATGTTTGATATGATTCCAACTCAAAAATATATTGATTTCAGTTTTAAATTGTTAAATCAGAGCATTGGAACAATGGGTAAGCTAGAATGACTTAAAGCGATAAATGAGGAGCAATGATTTGGTGAAAATCTCCCTGAAACTGTCTTTCGGCCAATTTTTATTATAGAAGATGACGTATTTGGATCTTGTGTTCTCTATAGAAGTTGTAGATCTTTTTTTATCTTTCCAACAAGACCAATATCACATCAATCGAACGAGTATAGATCAAGTTATGCCTAAAATACAAAACCATATTTTTGCTACCTCATCCTTGCTAGCTTGCTTGCTTCAGCGAGCAACCTAGCGAGCAGTGATGTATTTTTAGCCTTCTGCTCGCTGGTTTGCTTGCTTCAACGAGCAAACACATCGAGCAACTCGTAAAAAAAGCCCATGGATCCTTTTTATAAAAAGGGGACGAAATAGGGCATTGGGATTCACTTTTGCACGACTTAGGACGACTTTGGAGGCAGAAGAGCAGCATCCTTGGAGGAAAAGGAGGAAGAACAAGCAAAGTTTCGCCGTGGATACCAATTGATCAAGTTTTCTCTATGATTTCTCATCTCTTTTCTTATTCTGTTTTAATTTCTATGACTCCGTTAGGCTAGTTTCTTTTTTGTAGTTAGGGTTAGATGGAACCTATGGATTGCTAATGCTATCTTTTCCTTTCTTGTAATCTGATATTCAACGTTATGTTATGCAATTAATCTATTTTTAATTCATAGTTTTGTTTAGGGTTTTGCCAATCTTGAATGAACACTAGAATCTTGCATGACAATAAGGATGTTGGTGTAGGATTCCGATTGATTAATTGCTAAGTTTTGTATAATCTAGGGATAGACTTGTGAAATTTATGACTGTTAATTCCTGTTCTTAATGCTTGCCCTATGAGAGATCACTAAGGAATTAGGATTTCTTATAGGGTAAAGGATTGAAACACCAAGGGGTTGAGTTTTGATTAATCTTGAAAGAATTCTCAATAACATAAGTTGAATATTAATTATAGGAAAGGATAGATTCATCAGGAAGACATTAGGGAAATCGAAACCCTAGCTACGTTTGCATTATTGATTTTTACTCTGAATTACTGTTTGCGATCTTAATTTTTTATTCTTGATCTTGATAGTTGTAGGTTATTTTAATTTCAGTTTTTATAATTTAATCATGTTCACAAAAACCCTTAAGGTCGATCCAACTTTGATCGCGTAGTCAAATTAGTGATTGATAGGTTAATCTTCGTGGGAACAATATCCTACTCATTTCTTTATTACTTGTATGACTGGTATACTTGTTGTTATCGCAACACATACAATGAATAACCAATAAGAAATTATGACTACAAAAATGATATATATATATATATATATATATATATATATATATATATATCATCAGTTCATCGATTACCCGACTAGTTCGGTTTGAGCATTATTGTTCCCATTCTTGGGGGCGACTTTCCCAAGACCATTTTTTCTATTATTAGGGCTCGAACTCACGATATCTGGTTAAGGAAAAAAAGTTACTTACCCATTGAACCAATGATTGTTAGTCTTCTAATTTTGTCCTGTTGAATGATTGATTAAATTATAAAAGTGCCTAAGGAAGAGTTCCACATCATCTCTATCATTTATGTTCAATGAAATTAAAATTCCTATTGTTAGATGAAGAAGAGAAGATGAAGTTCTGACATAGTGGACAAGAAACCAACTACAACAAAACTTACATAACTAACAACATAGTTGAACGAAATGAATCTACTCTTATGAGATTAAGTAATTCACTCATTAAATGCTAATTGAGATTGTAAAGAACCAATTCAACCCAAAAGTTTAAGTTGTTAGGTGAGATTACATTAATGGTTTTGTATATTTCTAACATGCCCACTCACAAGAGAACCCATTGGCTTGAAAGGTGGATAACGCATCAAGCCCAGCCTACCTATGCTAAGAAATTCCACAAAGAAAATGGGGGCGGCAAGGATCGAACCTAGAACATTGGAGGTCTGATACCATGTAACGAACCAATTTAACCTAAAAGTTTAAGCTGTTGGGTGAGCCTCCATTAATGATTTTATATCTCTAACATTATGTTCCTTGACCTACACTCTGATTGCGTGCAAAAAAAAAAATTAAATATCACAAAAACTAAACTACTTGAAAATATCCAAGTTCCCAATGAAATGAATTTAATGTAGAACGAAAATGACATTACCTTTGAAAGTATGCAATGTAAGTTAACATGCCAGTACAGAAAAAAGAAAGAAGCAGAAGATGCAAACTCAAAGCAAGGTATGTATGCAGCAAGCATACCTTCAATGCAAAAAACTGATTAGTCCATTTGTGTTGCACCAATTGCACTATCCCCCCATTTCCCTTTCCAATCACTTTTATTGTATCAATGTCTGCCAAACTTAGCTGGTTGTCTAGTGGCCTAATTGGGGGTTGCTGAAAATAGCACAAATATTAAACTCAAATAACAAATTATCAGAATTCAGCCAGCATGTGATCTGTTATCAAAAGTATAGTACCAAATAAAAATATGCTGGAAGTTCTATATCCAAACCTCCATGCCATCATTGTACCAAAAACCACAATGGTTGGGTGTTACAACTGATTACAGCTATAAATGTATGGAGTTTAACATGAAAAGCTTTAAATCAAGTTATTTAAATTCAAATGCTATATGGGAAATTGTGAATATAACATTGTCTAGGATAGCATCATTCAAAACGCAGCTTGCAGCTTATCCTCCATTTAAGTTCATGAAGTGGATGATGTCTCCTGAACACAATCTTTTAATTCATTAGCTTGCAGATAAGAGGAAAAATCAAACTAGAAATTAAATTCATTAACAATATAAGATCCAAATATTCCAATGAATATCTTACTAAAAAAATCACTCTTCATTAAACCCCAACTAATAATGATCGGGGTAAGGGTCATCCTTATACTGGTCTTTTAAGAAAAATGAATATCTTACTATAAAGGGAAAATACCGAACAATCCATCTTATAAAAAGTCTTTTTCTTTTGAAATAAACAGTGCTCCATTTTGGTCTGGAAACCTCAAAATAATGAAAACAAACAGAAAATTCAGAAATCCCTTCTTACCACAGTAGGCATTTGATAAGATTAAAAAGACCAAATAAGAAATAATTGAGCAACCCAATTGGATATATAATTCAAAACAAAGAAAGAAACAAGTGCAAAACATAAAAGTTGAGAGAAACATGTTACTACAGCTTCCACTTCACTCTCAGAGAGAATTCGAACTCCATCCCTATCGACAAGCAGGTTACCATCTTTAAACAACCCACTTTGAGTCCTACCATAAAACCACATACACACAATTCCAATCATCCAAAACCAAACACAAAACAATCACATTCACACACACACACAAAAAAAAAGACTCACAGGAACTTGATAAAAGAAGCCTGATCAGATGCAGGAACATTGACTTTGACACTGGGGCCTAAGCATCTTTTCTTCATGATTATGGGATCCTAATTGGGTTCCCAACCCAAGCTCTGCAGGTTGTAAAGCAAGAAAAACTTTATTGTAAGATTATATCTGAATATAATCAAAATATTTATGTGACTAACATGATTATATTCTATAGTATTTAAGTTAGAAAACGAAAGCTTTTTATATTTTGGAGGATCATGGTACTAAAACTTTATTTGCGTAAGGTTGGAAAGAAGAGTCTTCATTGACGCAGAGGAGAAAAAAGGAGCAAAAACGGTTGAAGATGGAGACTTCTGTAGACTTTTCAAACTTTTTACTTTCTTCTGTTCTCACGTGCAATTGCAAATACTATTAACTACATATAAAGAGCAAACTTTCATGTATTCCTTACCTTAATATTTTTAAAAGCTAGTGTGTGTGTGTGTTTTTTTTTTTTTTTGCAAGGGGGAAAAATATAAATCTTATTGTTATATGGCTTAAATATATACCGAAGATGTGCTCGATTGTTAGCCTAAGTCACACTAGGCTAATTTAACTTGGGGTATAGGTTTGAATCTTATTGAAAGTACTAATGATTAAAATCATGTTATTAATTAAGTACTGGATTAATTAATAAAGGTGTGGAAACAACTTATTAGAGTAAAAGAAAAAAAATTAAAGTTAGTTAGAAATTCATTAGACAATAGTTATTATACTTTTTGTACATTCAGAATTACTCAAATATTTGTGCATATACATGTGTTATGTGATTATATGCGCGCACTAAATAAATGGTTTTAAAAAAGGGTTATGTTTTTCTAAGAGAAAATATACATCTTCTGCAAATACATTAAAAATTGAGTCAATTTTTTTTAAGTGGTGAATCCCACCATTTTAAATGTTAGCAAAAAGTTATTATTCTCGTAACCTTTAAAAAAATCATATTGAAGTTATTTTATTATTAATATTTGTGAGAATATGCAATTGTAACAATAACAATATATAGAATTGAATATGATATTTATTTATTTTCGAACATAAGATAGAATTTTTTTAAGATCATAGAGAATGTTGTTGCTTTTTTATTGTTTATAGATAGTAGCAGCCTATTGCATTACTTAATGCAACTGCCAATGTATTAGGTTTAGTTGGTTTTCTTAATACAAGAGAAGTCACCCAAGTGACATTTCCAAGAAGAGTAAGTATTCTACTTTTTTAGTTCTCTCGTTAGTGACACAAATATAAATCATATTTAGTTCTCACACGTAAAGCTTTGTCCAATAATTAAAATATTGTTATACTTTATATATTTCAAGTCTTCAACGTTGAATTCCTTATATTTTATGCATAGCTAGTTAACTCAATTTGAGTCGCATGACGAAAACGTTAGGTCATTAAATAATTCAATAATCCACCCAAAAAAAAAAAAAAAATTACCCAATGATAATAACTCGATCAATTGATACATGGAAGCTGAGTGGGTGATGAGAAAATCTTAATTCAATCCCCACCAATACTATTTTAGAGAAGGGCATAAGATTTTAATCTCGAACTCCTCACGTTTTCAAGATTAGTTTCATAGCCGGCTCAAAAAATCGAAGCTTGTGAGAATATCCAGAGAAGCCTACTCACCTCAAAAAGGTAATTAGGGTTGGTATAAAAAAATTTATTTGTGGGTCCTTGAACACCACATAAAAAAAAAAAATAGTTCACATTTCCTCCTCAATCTGACTTGTTATCCAGTGCAGAATCTTATACAAAAACCATTTTTAATGGTTTTTTTTCTTCTAAATTTCATTGCAACGCCAAGGATAAGACAAGAAAGTAGTTGGAAACTTAGGAGGAAAAAACAAAGGATAAGTAAATAACGAAATGTAGTAATAAAGAACCTTCAAGGAAAGTTACAAAGAAGCATGTAGTTGGAAAAAATTAGAAAAAGGAATCACGCAACTCCGAATTTAGTCCATAGACTTTCTTTTCTAATCCAGATAACTCGCCCTTCAATCCTTTTCTTTGCCAATATTTCCTTGATGTTTCCCCACAATCATACCACTTGCCACCTTTTTCTGTGTCCTATCAACTATCTATCCCTCTCGGATGCAACCCCACGCATCACGCAACAGTGTCCAAAGTGTTAGTGTTGGCAAAAAAAAATTACTAAACTGTCACGCTAATAGTCAATTTTGCCAAAATGTCACGTGGCATATTTTGCTATACTGTGTAGCGAAATATATGTGCAAATAATTCGTTACACAGTGTAGCGAAATATGCTACGTCAGAATGCTCAGAACCAAAAATATCATGTGTCAAACAGGGACAATTTCGCTACACTGTGTAGCAAAATTCTTCCTGTTTGACACGTAATATTTTTGGTTCTGACATGACATATTTTGCTACACTGTGTAACGAATTATTTGCACACATATTTCTATACCAAAATATGTCACGTGATATTTTGGCAAAATTTACTATTGACGTGAGAGACTGTTAATTTTTTTTTGTAAACAGTGACAAAATAGTCACTGTTCCACGCATCACCTCATTCGGGACTCACAATAAGCCACAGATTAAAGAACAAGAAAACTACCTATTTTAACAGAGCAAATTCTTTCTGGTTGTTTATGTAGTTAACATATTTGGAAATTGTGAAGTAGTGTGTGTTCTGATGAAAACCGACAAGTAAACAAAAGTACATTATCTGCTGAACACTAACAAAACTCCTATCTCAATAATCTTATTTTAGCTTTGATTTTAGCAATTGTATAAGAATAGGATGTTGATATCTGTCATAATCCATCTCTATAAATATCTGAGAAAAATATCAGTAAATTTTGACAAAATCTATTTATCCCAACAGTGTGTACATCAAAAGTTCTCATTACTTAACTATGCTCTGGATTTTGGAAAAATCAATATTCTTGTTTTAGCTTTTGATTTTCACACTAACCATGTAAGTAAGATATATATTGCTGTTTTTAACATTACAATATCATTGTTGTATAGAAAACTATGATATATACACATCTCTGTCTAGACAGAAAATGAGGAGCGGATGCTACTCAGGGGAAAAGCCTTGGATGCCTATTGAGATCACACTTCACTATAGATAATAATCTGGTTACAGTCAGGTATTAAGATTCAATCATGTTGAAAGAGAATTTTGAGAGCAGCTGTGGAACCCCTGATATAATTTGCCCATATGTCTGCAAAATGCACAAGTAAAGGCGTCAACCCAATCATCAACTTAACACTCTAGCATATCCCATAGGAAATATAGGACACAAAAGCCCACAACCATCCAATGTCATATGTAGCTTTCAGGAAAACAAAACAAGTACTGACATGTGAAGTCATAACCATAATTACATCGATGAGAAAATTGTTATTCTTGAAAAAATTCTGTTTGGCCATGTTATCCAAAAGCATGGTTTTTGTTCAATAACATGAATGAACTCAAATAGATAAACACCAGGCCAGCCACATAAGCTAATTTCAAATACTCCCGAGAATGCTCAAAGATACTGTCTGTTCACAAGATGGAATATCTGTACACCCTAGATACTTTCCTAGAGCATTGGAAATCCATACTCCATACCTTGTGATTTTCATGAATTTGGCATAATGGAACTGCAAGCAACCTCAGGTTCTTTGGCACAGTGAACTTTCGACTCATTGGCAGCTTTATAAGGAAGAGTTTCGTACACTCCTACACCATGAAACTAGGTTATCTCCCATCAGAACTTGTTATAAAAAAGCCATTTGAATAATGTACCTTTGGCTGGTTTATGTTAGGTGGCAGGAAGGGATACTGTAATATCTCAAAATCAGGTCTCCACCACATTCCAAGGCATTCACCCACCTGAGTCAAGTAAATTACAGTTCAGCTGCTCTAAATGTTGAAAGGTTGTAGTGACATTAAATTTTGTAGTGACAAATGGAAAAAGGCAAGTTTAATACCTCCCATTCTGCCCCATACCCATCTTCACTAACAGAAAGCTTCCTTGCCAGCTTACGTTTCAATCCATTAGTATCTGGAAATTCACAAAATTTAATCTTCAGTAAAAACTCATGAATATATTTCCAAATCCCTTTTTGCACAGCACTATTGACAGCTTCCCTACATACCTGATTCGCCTGGCCTTAAACGGCCACCGGGAAGTTTAAAGATGGAATTTTTTATTTGCAACAGCAACAAATGTGGATGTTTGAACAACTCAACCTGATACAAGAACAGTTACATTATCAGTTCAGAATCATATTGCAAAACTTTGGCTCATAGGCATAGATGATTGACAATATCAAAAGCACTTTGGGGATAAAACCAAATGCTCAATAACTAAGAAGAAGAGTATGAATAGAAACTTCAAAAAAAGTTCAGTCAACCATGCCTTACCCGACCTAAATCCTCAAGAGGAAATTACATAAGTTTACCTGTGAAAGGAAGTTTGGAAGAGAAAATAAACCTCAAGAGGGAATAGAAGAAGATCTTGAAAGAGAACATTAGGCTTTTTTTCTGGTTAAACCCACAACCTAATCAGGGAAGACAAAGAATGATGGCAAGTGGACACAATATGATCAGCTTGTAGTTGTAATAGCTCAGGTTCATAGCACCTAGATCTGAAGAACTCAAGGATGTGTAGAATTTTTAAAAAAAAAGGAGAAGGGGGGAGGCTCAGATTTTCAGTGTATGTAAAGATGGTAGCCCCAAAAGCAACCTTGGGCAGTTCTTATAGTATCTATGTTGTTCTGAATAGAATATGAAGCTGACAAAGGTCTAAATGAAATCATGAGAAGAATGAGAAAAGGCAATATTCTGAGTTCAATCACGTATATAACTTTATAAACTAACAACTAAATGGGTGGCCTTGGAACCCCTCAGGTGAATCGCCAAATGCTTCTCATCATAGACATTTCTCTGTATATCATCATAGACATTTGACACAATAAACAAGAACAAATAAAAAACAAAAAATTCAACAATTAAGTTTTTGAATAAAATTACAAGTACTGGTGAAACGTAAGAGATGACCTCTATTAGAGCCACATTCACACTCACTGCAAAAGCTGCCACAGAGTAAGTTATTATTCCAGAAATCTTTTGTATCTGTCTACAATGATCAAGAACCAGTGACTTCAAAAACTAAATCTATTAAAAGAAGGCCTAAGAAAAAGCTTTTTGTTCATTGATTCAGACATCTCTATACAAATTATATAGAGTGGGATACTGGGATTTGATAAAGAAATATAATATCAAAATAAATTTAAACTTTATATTATCATAGCGTCTGTGACCCGGTTGGTATAAATTTGATCCTCACTGTCCCTGTTCTATAAAAACTAATAATTAAATATTTCATTCTATTAAAAATAATAATAAAGTATTATAAAATTTCTTAACAACGCAAGTCAGATACATTATCAACCCTTCGATTCCAACAAAATAATATAAAAAAATATCAATAATTATTAGTTCAAGTGATAATAAAAATTTTGTTTCCTTAATTAGAAATCTCGAATTCAAAATGATAGAGCCACCGCTATAACCAGTCCAATTGTGCTCTAACTGAATTAGTCGAATAATTTATAAAACAATGGACATATTAAAATAACAATAATGATGATGGAAGAAGCGAATGGCTAAAGAACTAACCACTATGACAGCTTCCACACAAGTTCGTATTCCACGGGCAGAATAGCTAATATGCAAAAATAAAATAAAATAAAATAAAAAAGGGTTAAAAGAAGAGAAGAAAGACGTGTAAATTGGAAAAATAAATAGGGAAAAAAGAAAACGAACTTGGATTTCATCCTGTGAAGACGATCAGCTAAGGAATGATCTTTGAAGGGAATGGGATCTTTGGATCCAAAATAGTAACTACTCAAAGGGTATATGTCCAATTCAACACTCTCACTCTCATCATCATCGCTTCCACTGTTTGCGTTTGGTGCAGCAATAACTCTCGCCTCTTCCCCCATCACTACCCAATCCACTCAAATCTAAAATACTGAATTCAAAGCTAATAAAGCATACATTGATGCATATATATATATATAGTGTGTTGAACTTGAGAGAGAGAGAGAAAAGGAGAAGAAGGTTGAAGAAAAGAGTGGAAAGTAGGTAACGTGTCTAGGTTCCACAGGAAGAGTCTTCTCCAACGTGGCGTTACAAGGGACCTCAACGCCACACGCCTTACTATGATATGAAGGACTATATTAGACTAATTTTAACCAATTAACATTGACAACATATGTCATTTTTATTTTTTTTAAATGATTATTAGTCTAGTCGTCGATGACAAAAGTTATCAAATTCTCCTTATTAAATTTTGAATACAATTATATATTTTCAAATTTAAGATTTATAATTAAATTAAAGGAAAACTTCATTTTCACCCACTGTGGTTTTATAATTTATCATTTAATCTCCTGAGGTTTTAAACTTATCAGTTAGATCCATTGTTTTGGGATATTTTGTCTTTTAACTCCCTATGGTTTCAAATTTTCCCTTAAACCCCACGTGATTACAAAAATTTTCACTTAGACACCTTGTAGTTTAAAAAATAAATATTTTTAAAAATAAATTTTCTGTCTTTTTTATTTTATATCCTCATGTAATGTATTTATGGTTTAAAATATTTCAAGTTATTTATTCTGAAATTAATTTATAAATTATCTTATTTTTTAAATATATTTGAAATTAAAAAAATATTATTTAAGATAAATTAAATATGTATTATCAAAATAAGATATTTACTTTCTTTAGATAATTTTATAACGATACAGGGAAAAAAATAGATAAAATAAAATAATATTTGATTTGAATTGAATTTGTTTTCTTTATAAAAATAAGTGAATTTTTTAAAAATTCATTTTTAATTTTTAAACCCTAAATGCATTAGGTGAGGATATAAAATAAAAAAGAGAGAACATTTATTTGTAATTTTTAATTTTTAATTTTTTTTTTGTAACCATGGTCTGAGTGAAAAAAATTTTAACCACAAGGTGTCTAAGTGAAAATTTGAAACCACGAGATGTTAAATGATAAATTATTTAAGCACAATGGGTCTAAGTGATAAATTTAAAACCACATGAGGTCAAATGATAAATCACTAAACCACAATGGGTGAAAATGAAGTTTTTCCTTAAATTAAACAACTCTTTGTTAATTGATTCACCATAAAATTTAAATTAATTTTAATGACAATTTTATAATGTTAATTACCAGGCTACGTTGGAAAAGGACAATCTTATTGAGTCACCATTAATTTGTATTAAAAATTATAGAGGATTGAACGAGACAAGAAAGATCTCTTCTCAATTAACGACATATTACTAGAAATTGACAATCGCAAAACACATATAAATCGAAAAACAAAAAGAGAAAGAGAAGATAAATTTACACAGATGTTTACTTTGATTCACCCAATATAGCATCCGTCCAATTTGTCTGTACTGTATTCAATCATTGTCACTCGTTTCAAATAACTCAATTTATAAGAAAATATAAATAGGATTTAAAAAATTCTAATTGTTATTCATGACTCAAACTTAAACTACAACGAAAAAAATAATAACAATGACTCAGCAATGAGTAAGACGTCCACAATACAAACATTTAAATGTATTTGATATAATAAGTTATAATTTAATAAGTGCCAAATTTAAACTTGGTGTAATTTAATACGTCAATAAATTTTATATATGACAATGCAATGTTATAATAAGTAATTTAAGAAAGAAAAAGTAAAATCACGTTGCAAAAATTTCTTGAAAGTGTTGATGTCGTATGAGTAGGATGACAATTTTTTGAATTGAAATAACACGAAATTACACAATATGATTTTAATAAGATATGAATATGATATGAATTTGAAAATGGGTCATAATGTTTAACACAAACATAATTCATTTATTTTGTGAATTAAAATAACATGATATAAATAATAAATGTAATCTATTATGTGAATTGACACAAGAGAATAAAACACAAATGACTTGTACCCTTAATGTTATTTAATTATTTTTATCAATATTATATTACAAGATACGCAAACCAATTTCTTATTTGGATGCCGACATACAAGAGCACTCAAAAAAATTTCTAGTCAAAGTCTTACCAACAGAAATACCATATAAGGATCAACTCGAAAACCAATATTTTTTTCTTTTTCCAAATTACAACAACTACTACGCGTGAGTGGTAAACACCTGTTCAAAGTGGGTAAAAAGTCCATCTAGTACGGGCTGTGCGGCAATACCAAGATAGCCTCTCTTTTTTCTATTTTTGTCGGCACAACTGTACGTAACTATTTATGCAACGACACGGAGTATTATACTTGAGTAACATTATAACCGACCCTTATCCAGTTATTCCCATTCTAAATATAAGAATAGTGACGTAAAAGAGAAATAATACTCTCATGCTACGTGAGAGTAAATCATTTTCCTACACAAATTTATTTTTCGTGTCAATTAATTTTTCTTTTCTTTTTTAATATAAAATATGATACTCATATTTAATTTCTCTCTACTTTTTTTCTCTCCTACAATCCTACAACATAAGAAAACTTAAACCCATAAAAAAAAACACCCAAAGTCATGAAGTAGTTTCGAAACTTTGCAAATCTAGTAAAGTTCAAATTAAGATCGAATGGTGCGTTTAATATCATTTTTTAATAATTTAAGGGGGTATTTGACATAAGAGAAAAATTTTGTTATCGGAAAAAAATATTTTCTAGAATATGGTAGAAAATATTTTTTTCGGATAAGTTAGAAAAAAAGATGTTTAGTAGGCAAAAATATTTCTGAAAAAGTTGAGTTATTTTTACTGATATTATGTTTGATTAATTGTGAAATATTGATGGAAAAATGTACTGAAATTACGAAATTGTCCATTATTCCATTATTTTAAAATATTGAATCACATCATCAAACATACGTTTTAGCATTTCATAACCATGTTTAACATTCTTGAATTTTTCTCTCTTTCTCTTTCTTCTTCATAAATGGCATTCCTTCCTCAGCCCCAAGAAGATGCCGAAGAAGACACCAATGTCGACGTTCACACGACCATTGGCACACTCATTCGGTACCTCCCGCTCGATCACCTCCATTCGGTACCTCCCGCTCAATCACCTCTACTCTGCCACCACACCCATTCGCTTTTTGCTCTCGTTGTGGAATATGGAAAATTCATTGGCCTGCTTTAATTTTGTGGGTTTTTCTGAAGTGTTATTTGTTTAGACTTAAGAAACAGAAACTTCATGAAGTTGAACTTTGCTTAAATGTTTAGCTCTGTGATTTTTATTTTTATTTTTGGATTTATGATTTCTGTGTGGTTGGAAGGAGAAAATCTTATGTGAATGTTAAATGTCACTTGTAATTTCTGAAGAGAAAATCTCACTTGTGAAAATGGGAAATTATGTGTATCTGTTTTTATTTTTTGTGGGTTTTCCAACATGTAATCAGTGGCGGACCCAGAAATTTTTATAGAGGGGGCGAATTTTTTTTATATATTATTAAGAAAAGTACGTACAATCATATATGAACTTAATATAAAAACTTTGAAAGAGTCTTATTACAAAATTTAAGGTCAATTCACTTAACTCTTGCTCTACATTTTTTCATATTATTAAACTCTTCTATAATTGAATCTGTGCTAAAATTCAAAATAATTTCTTTTTCAACATATGTAATCAAAGAATCATCAAGAAATTGGTTTTTCATTCAATTTTGAAGTCTGGTCTTGATTATCTTCCATTCGACAATGGATGCGGGCTCTTTTCCTTCTCCAATATTTAGCTCAAAAAATTGGAACCCCTGTTTGTATGTTTTGTTGTTGTCTTCTTTGACAATGATTTTCGCCACCCTCTTGATAATCAAGTGTGTCTGATTTTGAAATTTTTTCTTGAGCCCTAAAGGTTTGCTCATTCCTTTGGAAAAAACTACAATTTCAATTTCTAAAGTTGTGTTTGTTTAAGTTTTTTTGAAATTTTCAACCCAATTACTTAATTTTTTTAGTCCAAAATTATTTTTTTTAGCAAAAAATTATATATATATATATATATATATATATATATATATAGTAAAAAAATTTCTAAAAATCAGGGAGGGGCGGTGGCCAACCCTAGCCCCTCCCCTAGGTCCGCCTATGCATGTAATGTATGTTTATATTATACCGAAGAAATGAAGAACAAGATGCATATCGATGTAGTATTTTTATCTTTATGTGTTGCAAGATTTTTTTAGAAATGGGTCTGAGATACGATTGTATGATGGCAATTATGTCTCGAAATTTGGTTATTGGATTCTGAGTATGTGGGGAAAAAAAAAACCATGGGGTGGGTTGGTAAAGTCTTCAGCGATTGTGTAGTTAAAAAAAAGGATGGGGTAAAAATTTTGCTGAGAATATTTTCCCTTTACCCATACCAAACATGGAAAAAATATTCCCCCCCACTCACTTTCCTAGCATTATTTTTAAATAACCCATATCAAACACCAGTGGCGGAGCCGGACTCAAATTTGAGCCCGGGCCAAAAAAATATATTTGTATTTATTTTTCTTAATTTTAGCTAGTTCATATCATAATATATTTAAATTATATTAAATGCATAACATCTGAGCAAGCAGTACTAAGAAGAGTTATAATTTTATTAAATATTTTAAATTTTTCTAAAAATAATTTTTTTTTCAAGTGGAAATTAGACGCATAACCTAATACAACTTACCCAAATCTTTCACCAAAAATATTTTAAATTTTACATAGGGCCAAATTACAAATTGTAGCCCGAGCCAAATTATATTTAATTATATATAATAAATACAATTTATTAAAATTTAGCCTGAGCCGAGATCACACCCACAATATATGTGGCTCCGCCACTGCCAAACACCTCCTAAAAGAATATGAAACTTGAACTGGATTAATTAGAGTATAATTTGGGCCTGAAATTTTTGTGGGACTTCTTTGGACCTGAAATTTGCAAGGTGTGAGATTGTTTTACTTGGGCCTAGCCCAACTCAATACAAAACAATGATGAAGT